GATTTTTCTGCGATCTGATAGTTTGGGCCACCCAGTTTCGAAATATAAAGCTGACCTCGGTGTGTAAATTGTGCATCCTGTGACAATTCGTGCTGCTTTAAGTTGAAATAATTCTAATTTATAAATATTGAAATTTGCGCAGGAATCCCAAATTTCAGATGCATATTCTAAAATAGGTCTAATAAAGCATTTATACAACTTATTTAAGGAGGATTATGATAAAATATATTTTACTTTTCTTAAATGAAATAATTTTAAAGAGGCTTGTTTTAGCATATTATCGATTTGAAAATTCCACTTTGCATCACTTTGATAAAGTACCCCTAAATGTTTATGATAATATGAATTAACTAGAAAGGTTTTATGAAATTTAATATGTAACGGATAGCAGATGCTTTTGTTTGTAAATATAAGTAAGGATGTTTTATTAGGATTAAAATTAATCAACCATTTCTTTGACCATGTATACAACATATCTAGATCTAAATTTAAGTTTTTTTCAATGTTGTTGATAGATATATCAGTTGAAATTAGAGATGTGTCGTCTGCAAATAATCTAGACGTTCTTATTAGACCTTCATATATACTATTCAAAAAAAGTAGGGGATATTTGATTTTGGGGGCATACTACTAAAATATGCAAATGACTACGAAAAAAGTCACTATAGAACCTAACAGAAGAAACATTTCCAGTTACATGTGACGCCCAAACGCACCAATAGCTACCGCATGGAATGCAGGTGATGCTTGGGATCATCATGGGGGTCCAACCCAAGATTTGCACGACTCTGACTTTGAATGTTACAGTCATTGTGGCATTGAATTCCAGGGTGGAAACATCAGTTTAATTGTTTTAGTGACCAGAAAACAAATTTTGATATGCGTCGGCTTACCCAAAATGAAAGGTTACGTGCCCTTGGCATGCTACAGATCGGCACAACACAGGCGGTTGTGGCGCGGACGATGAATGTTTCTCAGTCTGTCATAAGCAGGCTATGGTCCAGATACCGTGATACACAATCTGTACAGGACAGACCACGCTCAGGTCGACCAAGGGCGACAACTCAAGCCCAGGATCGATTTATCCGTACCTTGGCCTTGAGAAATCGTGTCATCACAGCAAATCAGATCAGCGCTCGTCTTCAAACAGACACTGGTGTGAGAGTGAGTGGCCAGGCGATTCGGAATCGACTGCATAGGGGTCACCTTCGCGCCCGACGTCCTCGCGTGATCCCTTGTTTGAGAGATCATCACATTCAGGCAAGACGTCGTTGGTGTAGGGATCGTCAACACTGGGATAATCGACGCTGGAGCAATGTGATGTTTTCAGATGAGTCAAGGTTCACTGTTGATTTTTTGGACAGACGTAGGAGGGTGTGGCGTCGTCGAAACGAGCGCTTCCAAGACGTTAACGTCATCAGACATGATCGATTTGGGGGTGGTTCTGTTATGGTGTGGGGAGGCATCACTGTTGCTGGAAGAACGGCTTTACATGTTGTTGCAGGGCATGTTACAGGCCAGTACTACCGGGACAACATCTTGGCAGTCCATGTTGTGCCGTTCGCACGACGTCATGGCCGCCGTTTCATCTTCCAGGATGACAACGCAAGATGTCACAGGGCCAGGATCGTTACAGGTTACCTCCAACAACAGAACATCACCACATTACCTTGGCCAGCACTGAGTCCCGACCTCTCCCCCATCGAGCATGTCTGGGACATGCTTGGACAGAGGTTACGTCAACGTCAACAACGTCCTGCCAATGTTCAAGAACTTGCTGCTGCGTTGCAACAGGAATGGGACAATCTGGACCAAAATGACCGTAGACGTCTCATTAGGAGTATGCCACGTCGGATCAATGCTTGTTTGGCAAACAGAGGAGGATTTACCCGTTACTGACTTGGTTGTGATGCTGTGGTAACTTTGCTGTTTGACCCCGGGTATCATTTTACCCTTATAATGGTCAGTCTGTGCCTTACTTAGTCTAACGATCATTTGGAATAAATCGATGAATGTGAACTTCATTTCATTTTGTCATTTGTTTCTTCGTCAGTTTCATTAGGTGACTTTAATAACACTTAAAAATCAAATATCCCCTACTTTTTTTGAATAGTATAGTATGTCATTTATATAGATAAGAAAAGGTAGCGGACCAAGTACAGAACCTTGTGGGACCCCGGCATTGGGAAATATAATACACGATTGACAGTTTTCAAGTATGACTTGTTGTTTTCTATTTGTTATGTAATTGGAAACTGGCTCAAGTAAGTAATTCACCTTTAATTCCATACGAAGTAAACCGTTATGTGAGTCTTTGTCAAAGGCTTTCGAAATATCACAAAATATTATTGCTGTAATTTGTTTGTTATCTAACACAGTACATATATGATTATACATCTCAATAAGTTGGTGTGATATGGAAAAGCCGGGTAGAAATCCTGATTAAAATTTATATATTAAATTATTATTTAATAAAAAAGTCTAAAATATGTTGATAGATAATTCGTTCGAAAAGTTTTGAAATACTGTTAAGCAGAGAATTGGCCTATAATTTTTTAATTATGTTCGGTTACCTTTTTTGTGCAAAGGAATCACTTGAGCTAATTTCCAATTTCAAATTAAATATCTTACTAAGTGGGAGACATATACTTTGGCAGGTTGATTTTAAAAATAGATTATTAATATTACCAGGTCCATTTGCTCTCGAAATGTTCAACTTTTTAATAAGTGATTTTATTATGTTAGTGGTTATATTGATTGGCGGACATGTATTATTACATCGAGGCGGAAATACGGGAAGTTGTACCATATCATTTATAGTAGAAATAGAACTAAAATAAGTATTAAGTATATCTGATTTATCTTTAGAATCTGTAATACTAACATTTGATGGGGACTGAAGAGATGGTATATTACTTCGTGAGATTGTTTGATAAAACTTTTGAGGGTAATCCAATAGTCTCGCTGAGAGTTTGTCTTTAATTTTTTATATATTTCCATTAATTGAGTTGTAATATTCTTTTTTTGCATAGTGTTTCATGTTATTAACTTTATTTCTATGTTTTTTGTAGGCAGATAGATGGTCTGTTCGTTTAGAATTTAATGCTCTTTTCCTAAGCCTATCTCTTATACGTATATGTTTTTTAATCTCGTGGGTAAACCAAGGTTTGTCTTTACTTCTTACAGTAATTATTTTTGAAGGGATATATTGTTCTATCAATTCGTCTAGTTTTGATGTAAATTTGTCTGTTATTTTATCTATAGCATCATCTACATTCCATACATCGTCCCAATCAATATTAGATATATCATGATTCAACTGGCGAAAATTTGCTCGTTTATATAAATATATTTTACGTTGAAAACGTTTATGATGATAGGTATGAATATCAAGATGAATAGAAATAGCAAAGTGATCTGAAATATTGATAGGAACTTCCAGAGTATCTGCCGTGATATAATTAATACAATTAGAGATAATTATAGGATCTAATAATGTACTTGAAATTTCAGTTATCCTGGTAGGTTTTGTAATAGTATTATTAAGATAATGCATAGCACAGAGTGTGTGTACATGTTCACGCGGGTTAAAATAATTGGAATTAAGATCACCTAACAATATGATATTTAAAGATATATCGAAAGCTTTTTCAATTGATTCATCTAATAAGTTCCAGTAATTAACAGGAAATTCAATTGATCTATAAGTAAGGCAAATTAAGATAATATCAGAATTATAGTAAGTTTTGACCAAATGATATCAGAATGAAACTCTAATGAGTATAAACGTTCTCATAAAATGTGATTGTGTATATAAATAATAACCCCATCCCCATGATTAGTCCGATCATTTCTAAAAATTCTCTTGGCATCATCGAATTGTATTTCGCTGTCATTGACGCTATTATCTAGATGTGTTTCTGTGAGACATTATTTGGAAATCCGAAAGAAAACTTTCTAAAAAATCTAATTTGTGCCGCACGCTTCTAATATTAAGTTGACAAATAGACAAATTATCATGATTGTGAATGTTAAATGGACCTGGATTAGGGTGAATACCTTGAGTCAAGAGAAGGTGGTATAATGATAATAAAGCACTAAGCGTAATAAAATATTCTAGAAACTTTGAAATATGAATTTTATAATAATATTTGACGATTTTTAAGCTGTCATATAGCAAATACGTATAAATTTGTTTAACATAATGTAGGATATTTAAATTACACGCAGTGTTTGAGTTTAAAATATAAAGTATGATCCTCACTTTAAATGAGCTAATATTTAATACGAGACAACTATAAAAGGGTATCAAAACACTCATAGAAAAATAATACATGTAGATGATAATTAAAATAACTACAATAGTAACATTTATACATATATACATTAGTATGAACATAAGATAAATACATTTATACAGCGTGAACATTTGTGTAGCTGTAAGGTTATATCAAAGTTTAAAAGTAAACTTTCTAGAATGAATATCAAATCTAGATGATAACAAATAAGTAAATCGATAAACGTCACAATTAACGGCACGTGTCTTATATGGTTTTTGTATTGATTGTTGTGTGTGATACCGTCTTCCTGCATTTACTAGTAACTGTTGAATCATAGCTGGAAATAAGTTAGAAAACTCATCGTTATGAATTTTCAATAAAATACATCCTACCATTTAAAACATTACCAATACTAAAGCTGTAGGTTAAACACAGTTCTGTTAAAAAGGATATGAATTTATTCGATAACCTATATTAACGAAGATTAATCGTTGACTATGGACAAGAATTATCTCTCTGCCAGTATATTTTAGGATGTATTAGGGGAAGTAAAGTTACTTTCGCTTGCGTCGTAAATTTATTTATACATTTAATATGCTATATAATGTACTAAACAGTCAGTCTAAACATGCGCCTTTGTGTAATTTGATAGATTTCGTTAAGAATATAATCTATGGTTAACATTTAGATAAAACCACAACAACTATAACAAATATGAAACAAATATTTACTTTTTGAATAAGTATGTGAACATTACTTTTTAAAAAGCGACTGGTCGGTAATTTGACCAGTAATTGGTTAAATGCCAATATTGGATTTTAAAGGGACAACCTTTGACGGAGGCGACCCAAGCTTTTAAAAAGATGACTTCAAAAGGGATCAAACAACATAGTACGTGTCCTGTCCACATGTTTGTCCTCTGAATTTCGTGTTGATTATTGTGTGTGATGCGGTCCTCCTGCACTTCCTTTATTGGATCTTAGCAAGATATAAGTTTGAATTAAAACAAAGATGTATATTATAACAACATTATGCTAAAATGAATCAAGATTGACTTTTAAAGGCACTTATACCTCATGGTGGCGACGTGGACTTTCAGGAAAATAACTCTAAAAGAGAACCAACAATATAAGACAACATATTATCACAGAATGAAATACAATACTTTATAAATTAATTTTAGCATATAGGTTTGAATTAGTACTTTTTAGGTAAGTTGGACTCTTTTGGTAGTGGTTGTAGCAATGGGACTGAAATAACTGGTTAGATTAGTTGACTGACCTGCTTGACGTGGCGTACTCTCAAAAACAGGGTTCGATATTTTTTTGGGCTCGATTTGGGACTGGTGTAGTCGAGTCATTATAACAAGATTCGTCCATAGCACTTGCCTTTGTTTGGGAGAGATCCGCATTACCCTCAAACTGGATTGATTTGGGTACAGTGTGTGATTTATTCTTGAAACCGGCATATTGTTATCATCGAGGGCTTTTTCAATATTCGTGTGTTGATAAACTTTGATTATCTTTTCATTGACCAATTTTGCGTAAATAACACCTTCTATAGACCAGGTTTGAAATGCGAGGGGTGAGATTAAGGTTTTGTGCAACAGCTGAGAGTTTATACGCGTAAGGTCCTCTCGGATAGTAATGTTGGATCCCTTCAGGTTTCGTCTATTTTTCATAACGTTAAATTTGTCCTTTCGAGAGATGAATTTAACAATTATTCCTCGGCATTTTCCGACTTTAAATGGACCAAGACGATGCGCAATACCAATGTGTTCGGGGGGCATTTGAACACCAATTTTATCAAAAACATCTAATGATTTATTTATTGATTCAGTAAAACTTTCGTGTTGATTGTCAGGTAATCCATATATCCGTACACTCGATCTTCTGGTCCATTGTTCTAGATCATTTACCCTTTGTAGTGATAATGTAGCTACATCTTTGGTATCTTGTAATTCAGTTTCGAGTTGATTATTTTTATATGTAATGATATCCACTTGGAGTTTTAACTTAGTATTTTCAGATGTAATATCACTGATTTGTTTTTCCAGGTTTCGGATCTGTTCGTTAATTGTATTAACGATGTCTAATTTAATATTTTCCATAGTTACTTCATTTAGTTTCAGTTGGTTCATTAACATTTCATTTATAATAACACTACTGGCGGCCATTTCGTTTTGTATAGATGTATTTCGACTGTCTGAACTAGATTCGTGAACACTGCCTTTAGTAACTCGGTGTTTCTTTGTTGCTGGTTTAACTCCTTGGCGATAGTGACCTAGAAATGACGACAACTCACTCGAAATTTCACTTAATGATGAACTGTGTTCTTACGCTTTCTTATTTGATTTTTTTAGACTTTACTTTGCTCATCATTTACTTATCTAGTCTATATAAAAAAACTAATAGTTATATTAAATTTAAAATCTCTTCTTTATATAATATACACAATCCACATGATGATTTCCAATTGGCAATTGTTTGATAGGTATGTAGTATCGAGTGTATATTATCCAAGCCCCGCTTGGCATGTAAGGCTCCGCATAAACTAACAATGTTACCTATTTTGAGTCTAAACATAATCTGAGACGCTGCTACGGCAAACAGCAATATATAGGTTAAATCCCGGTGGTAGCACGGGACTCCGTGGATAGGTGGAAGTAGTCCCGGTTATCCTGACGGACATCTATATTATACAGGGCAAAATCACAACACACCTCCCCGTCTTAATTTGAGAAGATTGGTTCCTGGTTCCGAAAAAAATATCCTACTCTTCACATTCACACTTTCAATCACACTAGCAACGGTATACAGGTACACCGTATCATTCACACATCAGTCAAGAACAAATCGGTTATAAATTCACCGAAAAAAAACTACATACACAGCTATTTAACGGTTTACAGCAAAGTCACCGCAGGCATGGACAGGTAAATATTCAACATCGTAATGTTGAAGGCATTTTTACTTTAAATTTTGTTCCTTGATTTCGAAGGAAAGATTGAATCTTATTTCTAAAACTCGAAAAATAGCATTTTTTCCTAGCCAAATATTTTTGTATTCGTAACAAAGACCCTATATTGACCACAGTTGAACTCACATGTGGAATATTGAGACATTCAATATTATGTAACGGTAAACTGACTATGCCATTCAGTCCCATGTTTAACGCAACATTTCCATAACTTATAATTTTCTTTTTATTCGACCATAACGGATCGAGATAAATAGATTCGACCATTTTACAGAAGGACCGATATGCTTTTAATGCAAACTTGATTACATCGATGAGAGAAATCTCAATCACGGCATGTGATCGGGCAGACCGTTCAAACAATTGGTCGGAAATATTTAAAGATCCAGACGTAAATGACCGTGAGATAGTTAACGGTGAGGATAATATCTGCTTCAGGACAGCTAAATGACTATTTGTAACTTCTGACATCGTCGATAATGCGCGAATTATCAATAAATAAATCTGTTATCACCGTATTTACAGGAACACCGTGAAGGGTCAATAACAATTCATCTTTGATGAAATTGATGCACAGTTTAATTAGTTCTACTATGAACAAATTCATTTCTTCTCGAAATAACCGGCTATCCAAATTTACTGGTCCAGTCAAATCATACACAGGAATTTCGAACCATTTATCTATGGTAGATCTTTTAAACTCCACACACTTAATTCTAGGAGGCTTTTCTTTTTGTTGCTCAAAGAAACTATCGGAAATTGAATATTCCCCAGCAGTAAACTGCGTAACAACTAAAGTTGATAGACCGCGAAATAGAAGTCCCGTTTGACTATTTGATATCGAGCGCAGCCAGTTCATAAATGAATTTTCAAACGCATGAAACTCGGGAACCTCTTTAATTTTTGACAGTTTCTCCTTTAACGCACGACTGCGATGCTCAGAAAGTTTTGTCATCTTTCTTCCGGTATTTATTAACACAGTCGATAATTGTGGACGCACGACTGCGATGCTCAGAAAGTTTTGTCATCTTTCTTCCGGTATTTATTAACACAGTCGATAATTGTGGACTTTGAGCTTTGAAATTAAACTGACTTACAGAATTTGAATGATCACTGTAGATAAACATCGAACCTAATACGCACGTTTCCTCAATTCTCGCGGAATCGATTGAGTCAATTTTTGGAATTGACACCGTTTGCTTCCGTATCCTGGAACTTTTGATCACCCCTGGAGGTGGTGATATTTGTTACATCACCGTATAAATCGGTGTTAGTGAAACCGTTCGATGCTTTGGCGGTTTCAAAACTGGCGATCGTCCCGCGTCTATCCGACCCGTTCGTAGTCGAAGTTTCATCCTCGGACATCCCGACAGCTGAATCACTGGACAAACTCGGGACACACGGCTTGCCTGCTTTATCGAGTTCAAGTTTTAATTCGTCTATTGCAGCTCGTTCATGGACAACTTGTGGGTCGCACTTTAAATTCTCCGAAATAAGCTTGGAGACTGGAGTTTTCGAATTGGGCATTATTGCCCGTGACCGATGAGTTCTTTCTGAGGAATTACAAATATCGGTTAACTGACGACACTGATCAGTTAATTTGTCAATTTTATTGATGATGTCAGTACACGTACGATCCATCCTGTCCCAGCACTGCTCTATTTTGGACGAAGTCATTTTCTGTGATTCGGGGGTTTCGGCTCGGATTTCGGTAGCTGCCAGTACATTATCATTACGCCTACAACTAATTCTTTGGACTGGTGATGATCGATTGTGAAATGGGTTTGCGGCCCGAGACATTTCTGCACGACTAAAACATTCCTCGAGTTTTGTCAAAAGTTCAAAGCATGTCAAATTACCATTCCGTGAAAGGATTATTCTATGAACATTTACCGCATATCCCATGCCTGTGCTATGGCAAACCTGCTAAATTTATTGGCAAAACTAGGCCAGTTGGAATAGCCATCAAAGAACAGTGACTCTGGAATAGTATAACACCGTTGAGATCGGTTGAATATACTATTACCCGTATAAAACTGACGGGATAAGGGATTGCCACCCGTGGACGACGGTGGAATATGTCGCCCATCTAGCCATGATGATGATTTCATTGTTTTATCACCGTCTCCTTACAAATAAGGGGAAACATGGCGAGGTAATCGTAAACAAAGTGTCACTTCAATTAACATGTGTTAGGGTGACCCGTGCACTCTACAGAATGTTGGTCTCGACACGGCTAAATGTGCACGCTTCAGTTGCGTGTCTCGAACTGATTTCTGACTACCCCGCACTCTCTTTGAGTCGATAAATAGCCATGGCACGTGCAATTCTCTACAAATATATCAACTATTACAGCCGTAAAAAATCTATTGTTGACGATTTTGAATAGCAGTAAAATTTAGCTTCTTGGTTATTACAGCAGCTTTAAAAATTACGTTTGTTTTATTTTTTAAATTGCTTTATCATTAACTGCACCGTTAAGAGCAGCATCTTTTGGTTTAGTACAAATAATATCTCTGAAACACTAGGGTTAGACAGGAACATGATACTAGCAGTAGTTTCATTTTACTTTTACAAGTTTCTTAAAACAATTGTTGAGTTGTCTAAAGTGCTTATTTCTAAATTCAATTTCTTGTTCTAGATTTCTGTTATGTTTCGTAAAAAAAGTAGTCTTGATTATCCCGACCTGTCAATCAGACGTAGAATGGTCGATAGACTGGTTAAGCGAGACTAATTTCAAAACAAGGGCATGTAACCTATCTTTTACTCAAAAGTGTCTGGATGTTATGGACGACACTTGGAACCAGTTTTCAGTCTATTATTTATAGATGATTAATGGTCATAGCTTATTAAGTACAACATGATCGTTTATTTAGTGACTATAATTGTGTTAAACTGATTTGAGGCTTGGCATATATATAAATATTGTGGCGTAATTGTCGAGATATTTGGAGATATTTATTTATGGTGGGTCACCCTACATGTGTTGATATGCACGTGCAACTCGCGGTCAATAAAGTTTCAATCTATCTAGTAATCTATTCTATTAGTAGATGTATACAGATGAATAACAATATTATATTATATCCTTCTCCCCTTGTTAAATATAAGTTGTTTTTACCATACTACCATTTGTAGTGTCGAGTGTATATTATCCAAGCCCCGCTTGGCATGTAAGGCGTCCGCATAAACTAACAATGTTACCTATTTTGAGTCTAAACATAATCTGAGACGCCGCTACGGCAAAACAGCAATATATAGGTTAAATCCCGCTGGTAGCACGGGACTCCGTGGATAGGTGAAAGTAGTCCCGGTTATCCTGACGGACATCTATATTATACAGGGAAAATCACAACAGGTACATGTATATTATAGTTTACGAGGGTGAACACAACTAGACTGACCTTTCAAATGTAAAATCCTTATTATTTTGTAAATCCATTTTAAGAATTAATATTATAAACCTTACTGCATACACAAATGTCACTTAAGATGTATTTTACATTTTAAACTGGCAAGATTACGATATATAAGCTGTAAACAGGGTATTTTCTGCTTGCCGCCATCTTGAACCAATATAAGTCCACAGCAAGTTTTAAAATACAACAATTCGGATGTAAAAAGTAAATATTTTCATTCAGTGCACTACTCCGCTGGTCTCCAAACCATTTTATACATTCAAAAATGGCAGTCTCCGGCAATCAAAAAATGAAATTCAGCCATGTTCTAGTCGTGATCGATGGTAGACCTGGATAGTCACGTCTTAGGGGGAATTCCTTCTGAGGTCATATATAGATAGACGTCATTGGTCCAATCATTGTCTACACTGGATCAAAGTCCTGTATAGGGAAAGTTACGACCATTGACGTCATATATAGATAGACCGCCTATTCGCCAGAATCGCGTGGTACAGACGCTGTGACTTCCGTTAAGGGAAGAAACCAATATGGCTGCCATCTGCACGACAGTGTTTTGAGTTTTGGAATAATACAAAATCCAAACTTCCACTGCAAAACTGACAAACTATGTCCGAAATAAATATTTGAAAGTGCGTAAGTATTTTTTTATCGATACTATTAGTTTTCAGTAAATATTTCTTTCGTATAATAAGCATTTTATCGTTAGGCCTTAACAGTTGGAATGGTGACAGTGTAATGATGACATGGACCGTACCGTGGCGTTATAAAACTTAATTTTTTACCTGGAATAATATTTCCAAATCAAAACAAGATAATTAAAGAAATAAAGAACAATGAATTTTAAAGTGACCTCGCTATGGCCTTC